ATTTGAATTCATGAATGTCACAATAAAAAGTCGAATATGATGATGAACAACGGGATTAAATTTAAATATAAGAATATGCAATATCTAATCGTAATAATAATTGTTCGTGCTGACCTTGAATTTAAAAAATCAAACAATTAAACTCTTGCAGCAGTTATAGTTTTTACCTGGCCAATGGTTTTAAATTCATTATAAGAAACGTCAATCCAAATCAAATATGACGGCAACTCGAGCATCTGTTCWACAGATTTGTTCAAGCCTTGTAAGCTCGTCAAATGATTATTATTCAACCAAATTGCTCCACTGATGAATTTCTTATTGGCGCCTCTTCCGGGAACTCCATGGACTCTGACTGACAGCGGTGTCTCATCAATTAGTTCTAAAAAAATAATCATAAATAAATCATCGATGTACTTGTGGTAAATCGAAACTGTATTTTTTCATGGTTTTTTTGTAATAAAAATAACTTTATTGACGCTGCATTTGTGCAGTGTTCTTATATGCATCTGTACCTACCTAGATTTTATTTACGAAATTGTAAAAATAATGGACGTTATATTAATGCGACAATTACTCTGAAAATATTATTATGGTGTTCTAATTTGATTATGTAATTGCACTGCAGTGTGAATAATTTTCGACTGACAGTATTGTTTATATTCTTACTGTCAACCGTCCTAAGGCTCTTGGACGAATAATCCAAAGGTTTCCCTATTTTAATGTCTTGAACAAACTTAGGATCAATGTGTTGAATTTTTGGCACGTTTTGACTCGAATCATTCATAGTTGCGGATTTCAACTTAACGTAAGCACCTGTATAATTATCTAACTTCTGCTTAAATTGTAAGTCTATTAAAAAAAAAAAAAAAAAATAGCATGTTATAAAAATAAATAAATAACTGATTTTAATAGTGTATGACAATAAACTTGTATCCAAGACAATTACGTGTAATGTGATATTATTGTTTTAATTTTTCTTTTTTGAAATGTAAGTATTCTAACTCATAAATCGTAATCAATGAAATCATTTATATTTAAAAAAAATTGAAATTATCATTGAATTAGCATTTTTAATTCCTTTTTAGGTGTATCATTTATAAAGTTTAAATAAACATAAAAATATTATAATATATTATAATACTATACGAATTTAAGCAACATTAATTAATAATGATTAGCATAAAAAAATGTTGTCGGTTAGCTGTCTAATTGCAGTCTTGTAAAATTTTCATTTATGACTACTTATATATATATATATATAATATTAAGTATTTACGCTGTTTATTTTCATAATTAGGTATTTAACTCTTTAGGTACCTAGTATCTAATGTTTACATATTATTCTCTCACTGTTTTTTTTTTTGTTATATAATGTATTTAATTTAATTATATAAGCCACTGGGTGTCAATACAAATATATATAAATATAAAATATACTTAAATCAATATATTTTAAGCAAATAATATGAAGCCAATMGAATTTCTCATAATTTTATGGGAACAAAAATTGTATTAATAAATACCTTTTTCCTCCATTAAATCTGATAATATTAAAAATAATTCATTTTCGAAAATGTGTATCATAAACCTAAGTTATAATTTATCATAATAATGTCCAATATAAGTAAATAAATTCTATTTCTTTTTGTATTACACTATGTGATTAATTATTTAATAACAATAAAATCGAGAAAAAATATAGTCCGTTAATAATTTTCGAGTTAAATTGATTTATTATTGAGATTAAGAGTTCACACTTTTATTACCAAACCAGCTCAATAAGATTCTTAATTTTTTTTTCCTTTTATACATAGGTAATATTTATTTATTGTGGATCAGTCGTCGAAGTTACCACTACGGCACTACATAACAGTTAAAAACAAAACCATTAAAAATTATAAACCATTAAAATATTAGGGTCTTTATTCATTATATTTTGTTAATAGGTATCCACTGCAATGGTCTTAGTCTTATACCAAAGTTTGAGAACCTTTGCCACAGTCCTACAGTCTACAATTTGCAATTTATACAGACTCGTGTGAAAGTTTTGCCTCGATTGTTGAAAGTTAAAACACAATATTATACTATWGCGTCTACCAAATGTTCGCAATGTCTATAAATTGTTAACTTTAATATTTATGTTTACATATTATTTTTTATGACGCTTATTATTTGTTATTGTTTTTTTTTAAATACGAAAGCAGAAACACCTTKTCGTAAAATTATATTAGAACATCGCAATTGTAAGAATATAATTTTCTGATGTTTTTAGTCATCAATGGTAGTTGTTACTAAATATGTTATATAGTTATATAGATATCGAAAAATCAGATAATATATTTCGAGTGTAATAGTTTAGGTGCATATGATAGGTAATTTTATCATACACTTAGGTGTATGAATGATGTCATTCGTTTTGATCATTGTAATTTGACGATTTTGTATCAACTTCCTGCAGGTTGAGTTTCGGATCGATTTCTAGTTCTTCCATTTCAGCCCAAAAGTCATCTTTGTGCTCGTACATTTCCATAYGACTCGTCGTCGGCGCCGGCACGTCAATCGTAGACATTTTGTCGGYTAAAAGGAAACTCGTGTCACATGAAGACCTCGCTCTGGCCACTGACCTCGTTTTTGGCACACGCGGCAACATGCCACTGATGATCGGCATTATTTTGTTTGACAACCACAAAGACTCTACGCGAAAAGCATTGCATACAAGGCACATGGATAAAAATAATATCAACGCACGGTATAATAGGTGTATTATTATACCTGGTATTATAATATGTGAAATAATATTATWATAATATAATTCTAAGGCTTTGGTCCAAAAATGGGACCAATATGAATTAAAAAGGCTAATGTTATAATTAGGTAGGCGAAAGTAAAATTTGAAATATTTTCAACAGGTTATTTCAATTAAAAAAACTACTTACAGTCCCAATCGCCTACCGAAATAAGTCTTGATAAGTGGGATTAGCCGTTTTAGACCCAAGCCGTAGAACTATCCATAATATTATCACATATTATATTATACGCCATTGTCAGCATGAAATTCATAATTTAGCCGTTGGACGGTTGTGTAAACGGTTTTCTTGAGTGTATATATAACTTACTGCATATGTTGTTTTGTAGTTCACTGGATTTCGTGTTTTTGTAAAAYGGATTTTCGATGTATTCGCCACTTTGCATGCACTTTAAATGTCCGAACACAAAATATCCTTTCCCGGTAACCTTAAACGGCGTTATATTAAACATGTTTAAGTTATTGTTAGAATTTTAAATGTTTAATTTTAGATTTATGTTGTCCTTACAATGACGTATGTTGCCTATGTACATATCATTAATATTATAATAATAATATCGATTACAATATTTAAACGCTTCAAGACTTTTAAACAGAAACATTAAATTCTGGTTAGAATCAAAGTAGATGATTTCTTAATTTAAAACTTTTTATATTATTATTTTACTTTTTATATTTTAGTCGTTTGTTGTTGTTAAAATGCATATTTTTCAATGTTTCACTCAAATTAATAAGCTATATTAAATGCATATCATGTATTATTATTATARGATTATTTATTTTTTAGAAATTTCTGGCTCTTCGATTTACAAGCCCTATTTGTGTATTATTGGTTTGATATTTTAGTACTATRATGTGTTAGCACAAATTGTATTATTGTATAGTACCTATGCTTGTTAAGTATWTTTTWWAAATTTTGAGACTAAAATGTACCAGAAATTTTTTGCATTAAAGTCCATTCTTTAATCATCACTCACCATTTCGTTTTCATCCCACGTGCCATAATACGTGAAACCAGTAATGCCACTAATTGGATAAAAAACTTGAAAGTTGTTGACTCTCTTGTCATTCAGCCACATTCCCGTCAAAACGGCTCCAGTCTTACAAAACGTATAGGTTCCCAACCCGTGTTTCATATCAGACTTCCACGTTCCGGAAAATTTGTCGTTGTTTTTGAACTTGAAAACCCCTTCACCGTCTTTTTTATTGTTTATCCAATAACCTTTCCAATGATAGTATTGTGTTCAACATTCAAAAATCAATGTTACATTATAAAAGACGTATATCAGTGGCAGTGCTAGGATGTGGCCGGGCCCACCCTAAAAAATTTTGGGACCCCTGTGGCCCACTCTAAAATTAAAAATTGAAAATAAATCATAATCACCTATTGAAAACGATCTTATGAACCTGATTTATAAGAATATATGAAAATATTTAGTCACAATGTATGGACTATGGGGTAAACAACGTTTTAAAAGCTATGCACTATATGTATTCAAGCCTCATAAGTAACGTGTGTTTTACAGCGGCTAAATACAAAAATGTTCTTTATTACTTAGTTATACAAACTATAGTTTACTCAGTTAAAAATACTTGTAGTTATGTTTTTATTAGTTATATTCAATTATACTGCAATTGATGTCTGATGGTGTGCTCAGGGTATTGAGTGTAAAATTTTGGGTTAGGGATGAGGTATCACCACTCAGGTTCGTATACAGGACGATGAAGAACATTAAG